ATATTTTTTTTTTTTTTTTTATAATGAAAAAGTCTTTTTTTTGTTTGTTTATGCATATACTGATATGCAATCATGTATTTATTTTATTTATAAAGTAATTAACTGAATTAAATATTTTAATCAATTGACAACACTAAATAGTATACAAAAAATTGAAGTCTTTTTAAATTTATTTATTAATTTTCTGCAATCACTGATATATGCATCATTTACTTGTTTATTTGATAATTTAAGTAATTAACTGACTTAAATATTTTAATCCATTGACAGCACTAAATATAATACAAAAATTGAGCAAAATATATTGACAAAAAAATATATATACACGTGTGTGTGTGTGTGTGTTATGTTACGGATCGTAACTACAACTAATTGTCTGAATAATAATAATAATGGCAACAAATGAAAGCTGTGGAAAATATGGCAGTAGAAACTGTAACGTAGATATTTGTCAGAATCAAATCTAATGTTACATTTTATATTATCAGAGCTGTTTTATAAAGAAATGTATAATCTAATCACGTGTGTGTGTGTGTGTGTTATGTTACGGATCGTAACTACAACTAATTGTCTGAATAATAATAATAATAATGGCAACAAATGAAAGCTGTGGAAAATATGGCAGTAGAAACTGTAACGTAGATATTTGTCAGAATCAAATCTAATGTTACATTTTATATTATCAGAGCTGTTTTATAAAGAAATGTATAATCTAATCATAACTAAACAACTAAAAAGTTGCTTTTAATCTCATAAACAGTTTTGACATGTAAAAATGCACTGTATTTTCCATCAGGTCGCTTACTGTAAAACAACAGAATCGGGTTTTGTTTAGATTTGTCCATTTCTCAGCCCAAGAACTACCGGGGTTTAAACACAACTCTGAGTATAATCCAAACCCAGTCAACAATGTGACACTCACCATATTTGATTATATCACTCCAACAACCACCTTCACCGCTGAAACTTCAGAAAGTGTCCCAGCTGCTCTTCAGAGCTTCAGAAATGAAATTACTGATAATATTTCCGACGTGGCAGACCGACTGTGTCCCCGCTGATAAACTCTCCGGCTGGAACGAAAACAAGGTTCCGCTCAGTTTTCCCGTCCGCGCCCCGCAGTTCGCATCGAGTCCGGCAGATGTCGGCAGAGCGAGGTGAATTAATATCGCTCATCTCTATTTATAACTGTCCCAAAGTGTCATATGTCGCAGTCTGTCCAGTGTCCAGCCAGGCGCTATGATCTTCATCAAGCTCAACTTTCTGTATTAAGTTTTACATCGCCATTAAAGTGCAGTGCTTTAAAAAGCCAAGATGTCGAATGTCACCTTTTACATTTCCAATCTTTTGGAAAAAATGACATCCACTGACAAAGACTTTCGGTAAGACAACTGTGTGTTGTAGACAGACGCATGACTAGTGTTTACAGAAATAGGCCAATGACAAAGCAACAGCCTGCAGTTTTTATATAAAGCTCAAATAAACGTTTTATATCTGAATAATTTTCAGATTCATACTATATCTTGAAACTCTTAACTGGAATAAACATTGACTTTTGTAACTAAAAACTATAGCTGTTGTGGACATACCGAAAGCATGAAATTTTAACTATTCTATATCAAACTTAAAGATGAAATAAATCACCATTAATGGTAACTTCCTACAGAATTTGGTTTCTAATTTGTTGTTCTCAAACTGTTTTGCTATAAGCTTTTCAGCTAGCAAAAAAGTACTGTGGTGCCGCCTTGGTATTATTTACCATGGTAAAACCATGTGTTTTGGACATGCACATTGCTATGTGGATTGTGAAGTACATCAAAACTAATGAAGACTTTGATTTCTTTCAGGTTTATGGCGGCCAATGACCTGATGATGGAGCTCCAGAAGGACTCGATCAAACTGGACGAGGAAAGCGAGAGGAAAGTTGTGGCGATGCTACTCAAACTTCTGGAGGACAAAAATGGAGAAGTGCAGAATTTGGCTGTCAAATGGTATTGTTTTCACTCAGACTTTCTTCCAAACGTCTTTCTTTTCAGTGATACAGCGGTCGTGATTATTTCTGGTTTGTGTAGCCTCGGTCCTTTGGTGGGAAAAGTGAAGGAGTGTCAGGTGGAGACGATGGTGGACACACTCTGCTCCAACATGGTGTCCAACAAAGAGCAGCTGAGGGACATTTCCAGCATGGGCCTGAAGACCGTCATCGCCGAACTGCCACCTTCATCTACAGGTATCAAGGTGATATATGAGAAATTCCCATCTTTTCAGGATCTTGTTAGTCATAGTTGCTGTATTGCGTTTGAAGGTTTGAGCCTCACAGTCAACGTCTGTAAGAAGATCACGTCCCAGTTGATTGGAGCCATGGGAATGCAAGACGATGTGTCCATTCAGCTGGAGGCTTTGGATATTCTCTCCGACATGTTGGGCAGGTTAGTTAAAACGTCTTGTACTTGCATGGAAGTGTTTATGAACATCCATCCATCCCTGATAGCACACGTACATCACGGAGACGTCTATTTGACGTCTGCATTACATCTGCAAGACGTATTTTTGAATGTTTGTTCATCTGCAGTACGTCTATAGGACGTTTCCTATCAGATGTCAAATAGACATTTATTTAATGTCTTTAAGGTGTTTATGATTTCGAATGAATGTAAAACTGACATCTTAGAGACGTCTATCAGATTAGGACGTTTCCTATTAGATGTCAAATAGACATTTAGAAGATGTCTTTAAGGTGTTTATGATTTCGAATGAATGTAAAACTGACATCTTAGAGACGTCTATCAGATGAAGCACAGCAGATGAAGTGATCTTTAACAGACATCTTGCAGACGTGCCTGTGCTATCTGGGATCAGTCTAAAACATTATTTGACAGGTTGAGCACTGCTCTGGTGAGCTTCCATCAGTCGATTCTGACCAGCCTCCTCGCTCAGCTCACGAGTCCTCATATGGCTGTGAGGAAACGCTCTATTATCGCTCTGGGTCACCTGGTGCCCAGTTGTAGCCCCGCTCTGTTCACTCAGCTCACCGAACACCTCATGGGCGAACTGTCCCGCGGACCGCCCACCGCCAGCGTCCGCACCTACATCCAGTGCCTGGCCACGGTCAGCAGACGAGGAGGACACAGGATTGGTGAGCTGATTCAATATTTCTTCTAGAATTCTGTCCGTCAGTGTTGAGGGAATGTAGTGTCACTGTGTGAGAGACTAGCAGAGATAAAGTCAATGTAATGTACTGTAATGAGTACTTAAATGTCTTTTGGAGATTTTGAGCATTACATGTAGTATTACATTACATTTTGAATATGCAAGTGTAGTAATATTGAGTCTTATGATCTGAAGGTGAACACCTGCAAAAGATTGTGCCAATGGTGGTGAAATTTTGTAACGTGGAGGATGATGAGCTACGCGAGTTCTGCTTTCAAGCTTTTGAAGCTTTTGTTAGCAGGTAAAACTATTTCTATATTATTTCTATATTAAATGGTCTAAAACTAAAAATTCTGTTTGTTTGTTTTTTTCCAACATGGGACAAAGCTTTTTTAATTTTTGTATTTTTATTTATTATTTTTATTTAAATTGCATTATATTTTACAGTTTCATTATTTTATTATCTTGGTTTATTATTTTGGTTTAAATTGTCATTTTTTAAAACATTTTAGCATTTTTTTTTTAAGTTATAACATGTTTTGACATTTTGTAACTTTTATTTTATTATTTATATTATATCATGTTTTTTGTTTTTTTTTCATTTATTTTTTGATGTTGACTTAAATTATATAAATTACATGCTAATTACATTGTTTTGTAATTTTTGTAGCATTGTATTATATTTTTCAGTATAAATTATATACTTTTTGTCATTTTTGTTTCATTTTATGTTGCCTTAAATTATGTCATGTTATTTTTTATCATGTTATTTTTGTAACATCTTATTATATTATTTTGTATACATTCTAAAATGTTTTATCATTTGTTTAGTTTTTTTATTATGTTGGTTTATATTATATCTTATTTTGTCATTTTTGTAAATATTTTATTTTATTATTACTATATGTGTATACTTGTATGTCAGATACTAATTCAAAAACTATTTCCTGTTTTTGTTTTTGTTTTTTTTTAACAGATGTCCGAAGGAAATGTCTCCTAACATCCAAGCAATCATCAAGTTATGTTTGAAGTACATTACCTACGACCCCAATTACAACTACGATGCTGATGATGACGAGGATGACAGTATGGATATTGAGGACAGAGAGGATGACGATCAGGGTGATTTTTTGACCATTATTATGCAACTTTAAGAGGAATAATTCCATCTTTAAACATAAAACAGTATTATCTTTTTGGAAATTTTTACAAATGGTAGATACAAATTCAAGTTTATCTAGCTATAAGATGAGGCAGATGGCAGATGTAGTGCTGCCCACTCTGAGCATGTTTTTCACAGTCAGCACACTTGTAATCTATAGAGTCTGATGATGAATACAGTGACGATGATGACATGAGCTGGAAGGTGCGGCGTTCCTCTGTGAAATGTCTGGAGGCGATAATCAGCAGCCGCAGGGATCTGCTGGTGGAGCTCTATGGATCCGTAGGCCCAACGTTGGTGTCCCGCTTCAAAGAGCGTGAAGAGAATGTTAAAACTGACATATTCTCAGCCTTCGTGGCTTTGCTCAGACAGACTAGACATCCTCACGGTCCCACTTTGGACTCGGGGGCTAAAGAGGAGCCTGCAATTTATCTCTTAAAGAAACAGGTACTAATGTTTGAAGGTTATCGACCCAACTTACATGTAGCATCTGGTGCATATCTCCTAAAAACAGCTCTTACCTGCTCTCACAGGTACCGACAATTGTAAAAGCTTTACACCGACAGCTAAAGGAGAAAAGCATGAGATGTAGGCAAAGCTGCTTCAGTCTCCTGACAGAAATGGCCAATGTACTGCCTGGTCAACTGGGAGAACACATACCAGCCCTCATTCCAGGTCTGATTAAAAGAGATTTAGCATAAAATGCTATGCTAATACCCTGTCCACATTGTAAAAGAGCGTCCGAACGTCAAAAGCCAGTAGAACCCATCATAACCAGTGATACCGTCTAAAATGGATCCAAAGCAATGAGTTACCAATAGTAAACTGATGCCCCATTTGACTTCTGACATGAAGGACAAACTGATTTGGAAAGTTCACACAACTATAGTCACACCCATTGTAGACATGGTGTTAAGTCGCTATTCTGAATAAGAACAGCTAACATGCTTACTTCAGGTTGTCTATTGCTAATGGACACTAAGGTCTAGTCAATGATGAGCTTTTCTTGCTCTAGTTTCAACAAGTACATCAGAGTCTAGTCCAGGGGTCCTCAACTCTGGACCTCAAGATCCACTTTCCTGCAGAGTTTAGCTCCAACCCTAATCAAACACACCTGAACAAGCTAATCAAGGTCTTCAGGATTACTACAAAGTTGCAGGTAGGAGTGTTTAATCCAGGTTGGAGCTAAACTCTGCAGGAAAATGGATCTCGAGGTCCAGTTGATGACCCCTGGTCTAGTCCAAAGTTGCCTTTGGACCTCTTGCATCCAGTTGTACTTTTTAACCAGTTTTGTGGCATATTATTTTTAGTGTATACCTTAATTTCAGCTTTTATCTCTCTTTAGGTATTATTTACTCCTTGACAGACAAGTCGACCTCTTCCAATCTGAAAATTGACGCCCTTGCTTTCCTCAATGTTCTCTTGAGTAGCCACAACCCAGAGATCTTCCACCCACACATTAGCGTCATCTTACCACCGGTCATCCAATGCGTGGAAGACTCGTTTTATAAGATCACATCTGAGGCCCTCCAAGTCATCCAGCAGACTGTCAAGCTCATGCGGCCGCTGGACAAGCCCGTCTCTTTTGATGGCAAACCTTACGTTAAGATTGTGTTCGCTTGCACCTCGAAGAGGTTGAAGGCGGCTGACATAGACCAAGAAGTGAAAGAGCGGGCCATTTTCTGCATGGGCCACATTTTGAGTCATTTTGGTGACCAGCTGGGTGCTGACCTGCAGCCCACCTTGCAGATATTTCTGGAAAGGCTTAAAAATGAAATCACCAGACTTGTCGCAGTGAAGACTTTGACTCTTGTCGCTTCCTCGCCACTTAAAATTGACTTAAGACCCATTTTAACGGAGGGGATTCCAATGCTTGGATCCTTCTTGCGGAAAAACCAGCGGGCCCTTAAGTTGAACACGATAACGGCCCTGAATGTTATGGTCACAAACTACAGCGACAGCTTCAAGCCGCCTTTGATAGACTCCATACTGAGTGAGGTACCTGCTTTGATTCAGGAGAGTGATATGCATATCTCACAAGTAGCCATAACGCTGATCACCTGTATGGCCAAAGTTTGCCCTTCCTCTTTGAGCAAGATTGGGGGGACGATCTTACCTGAAGTGCTTAACTTAGTCCATTCTCCACTGCTACAAGGAGGTGCCCTTAATTCCTTACTTGAGTTCTTCCAGGTTCTTGTAGCCACGAAGGCCAACAACATGGGTTACAGTGACCTTCTGAAAGCCTTGAGGGGGCCTTTCTATGATTCGAAGTCAACTGACTCCATGTCCGTGCATAAACAGTCCTACTACTCGGTGGCCAAGTGTGTAGCAGCCTTGTCAATGGCTTGTCCCAAAGAGGCTTCTGGAGTGGTCACCAACCTTATCCAGGAGGTTAAGAACCCCAAATCTTCAGAGTCTGTGAGGATTCTCTCGTTGCTGTGCCTTGGGGAAATTGGACGTTTTATGAACTTCGAAGGGCAGAAGGAACTGAAGGGAGTCATAATGGAAGCCTTCGGTTCTCCTAATGAGGAAGTCAAGTCTGCCGCATCTTTTGCTTTGGGAAACATTTGTGTCGGAAACTTGGGGGAGTATTTGCCATTCATGCTCAACGAGATCGGAAGCCAGCCGAAAAGACAGTACCTGCTCCTGCACTCCCTCAAGGAAATGATTAGCGCTCTGTCAGCCGAAAGTCTCAAGCCTCATGTCGAGAACATCTGGGATCTGCTGTTCAAGCACTGTGAATGTGCAGAAGAGGGTACTCGCAATATTGTAGCTGAATGTTTGGGGAAACTCACATTGGTCAGTCCATCTGAACTCATACCAAGGCTAAAGAATCAACTGTCCTCGGGTAATAAGAGATTAAATGTTACCTTGAATTTACTCAGTAGATAATGGGCTAGTTTTAAACATATAGGCCCGGTTTCACAGATGGGGCTTAGCTTAAGCCAGGACTAGGCCTTAGTTAAATTAAGATATTTAAGCAGCTTTTACAAAAATGCCTTAGAAGAAAACGTTACAGGTGTGAATCTTGACAAAGAACAATGGCACTGACATATTTTAAGATGTGTCAAAGCAAGATATTTTCAGTTGAGACAGCTCAAACCTGCATTTTAGTCTGGGACTAGCTTAAGCCTTGTCTGTGACACCGGGGGATAGTCTTAAAATGCAATTTTAAACACGTGAAGAGTTTGATATACATAATTAGGCTGTACAAATGTAAACAAAAAGCAAGTGAATATTTATTGTTCTTCCAGGGTCTCCTCTTTCCCGCAGTACGGTTGTAACTGCAGTGAAGTTCACTATCGTAGACCACACCATGCCCATAGACTCACTCCTCAAAGGATGCATTGGTAAATTATATATTTTTACTTATATATAGGTAAATGAATGACAGATACTGTCTTAAACCCTTGCACTAGTGGCCTAGTTTGTAATTCTGCTATTAGGTGACTTCCTGAAAACACTCCAGGACCCTGACCTCAATGTTCGGCGGGTGGCTTTAGTCATGTTCAATTCAGCTGCCCACAACAAACCCTCCCTGATCCGTGGACTTCTGACATCACTTCTCCCACATCTATACAAGGAGACCCAGATCAGAAAAGACCTTGTTCGAGAGGTACAAATTATGAATGTTAAAAACATGTGAAAACTGCCATATAAAACAATACGTAGAATATAGTAAATACTGTTACACAAAACCTGTAAAAGAAATTCAAATTCTATGCAAAGTTTAATTCTGTGTTGTGATCTTTTCAAATTTCGGCATGTTAAATCACGTCTCAGGTTGAGATGGGCCCCTTCAAGCACACAGTAGATGATGGGTTGGACGTACGTAAGGCGGCGTTTGAATGCATGTATACTCTGCTGGACAGCTGCATGGACTGTTTGGACATCTTTGAATTTCTGAACCATGTTGAAGAAGGCCTGAAAGATCACTATGACATTAAAGTAAGTGTATTTTCAGTCAGGTAGCGGTCGAATGCATTGCTTTATGCTTAAATGTTGTCCAATACATTACATGGGTTAGAAAAAAAGTGTATTTTCCCTTTTAAGATGCTCGTGTTTCCGTTTTTTCTTTTTTAGATGCTGACCTTCATTATGCTCGCCAGACTTTCTAAACTGTGTCCTACCGCTGTGGTACAAAGACTGGACAGATTAGTGGAACCACTGAAAGCTACTTGCACTACAAAAGTAAGGTTTAACATGACAGTAGTTTGTAACAAAATACGGGATGTTGCCTATTATACTTTTCAGTAAACAATTATCATTTTTGAATACAAAGGTAAAAGCTGGTTCAGTGAAGCAGGAGTTTGAGAAACAGGAAGAGCTGAGGCGCTCTGCCATGCGTGCAGTCGCCGCCCTGCTGTCCATCAGCGAGGTGGAAAAGAGCCCTGCTATGGCAGAATTTGCCAATCAGATCAGAAGCAACGCAGAGATGTCCACCATCTTTGAGAGCCTGCAAAGAGACCCATTAACAGAGGCTGTGGAATCGATGGACACCAGTTAGGACTCTCAACTGCAGTTTACATTATAGTTTGTGCAGAGATGGCAAAAGTACACATCCTTCTCTCAAGTAGAAGTACAGATACTCATGTTTCAAAAAAGACTCTGATAAAAGTTGAAGTACTGACTACACTTTTTCACTCAAGTTAAAGTATAGAAGTATGGGCTCTGACATGTACTTAAGTAAAAAAGTAGTCATTACTACTACATGTGTTAGTCACGCTGGTAACTGAAACTCTCATTATATTATTATATTAATAAAAAAGTAATTACAATTCAGATTTTGTTAGCTAATGAATGTATCCAGGCTGATAAACCACCATGTAGAACACAAGCAGATAAAAAACTAAGGTGACGAGGAGAAAAAAAAAAGAAAAAAAAAAAACTCAATTTGCCATCACCTAAGCCACATCCTAGATTGTTGGGTGATTCTGCCTTTTGTCTTTGGAAACAACTTAAAATTATGATGCTTTAAAAATGGCAAATTTGAGGCGAGTTATATTGTAAGTTTTATTGAAATGCAAACAAAGAATTAAGAGTGCAAGCATAATTTACACTTGTTTACCCGTTAACATGCAGGGGGCCTGTAATTATAAATCATTAGAAATATCTAAGGTTTTATTATAAAACCTTATAATATAAAAATCTGTCACAGTAATTTCTTAATTTCTGTCAGGAAATCTTATGCATCCGAAATGCATATCCAGCACAATCTAATAAAACACATTTCAAGGATAAAGGACTTTTATAAAAAGAATATGTTCGCCTAATATTAAAAACTTGTAGGTCATCTTGGAATGGCTTATTGTAATACCAAGCGTTTCAAAACACACAGGGTGAGTTTTCATTTCAATGCATATGCACATCTGAAATAAAAAAAATAAAAAAAACTGTACTGCTCTCTACACTGGAGAAAAACGTATGGATATGGATGTTAACTTCCAATTTCTTTTAGAGAGGTGGTATTTTTCCCATTTTACCTGATGAAACATCAACACAATAAACATACGATTGTGACAATATATGGCTTATCTGTGTTCCTCAAGACATCACAGGTATTTTTATCAAAATAAAGTATATTTATAATGCAGTGTTAATCAACTTAGCCCGTTTGTGGTTGCAGAACCCGCAATGGACTACAGTTTTGTTGTACAAAAACAATTACTTCAAAAGCTTGAAGAATATTATTGCACAACCTGCATCTTCTAGGCCAGGGGTTTCCAACCCTGTTCCTGGAGCCCGCCCAACAGTGCACATTTCGCATGTCTCCATAAACACATCTGATTCAGGTCATCAGCTCATTAGTAGAGTCTCCAAGACCTGGGCTGCATCCAAAATCGCATACTTCCTTACTATATAGCAGGCGAAAAACAGTATGTGACAAGAGTAGTATGTCCCCTTTCACAGTAGTCATAAAGCAAGCAAAATTACCCGGATGACCAACTGCTTCCAGCGTGACTGAAGCGTGCATACGATGGACTCTTTACTATCCCATGAGGCCACAGGAGAGGATCTATCCATTGCTGTTAAGTACCTACTCAAGAGAGTATGTGATTTCAAACAGCCCAGGGCTGCGTGCAAACGTTTAGGCAGCCGAGTAGTTGCCTTAACAGACATGATTTGACAATGACCAAAAACTGATTTCAAATGGGCTTACGGTTTAATGATCTACAACAAAACAGAGATAGATAACCAAGTGAATGTGTAATTACCGCAATACTGATTTCTCACTAGAAATGACACCAAAAGTGGAAAAAGTTGATTAAAAATGTATGTTTACACAACACTCTCCACCAACTGCAACTTTCAGATGCCATCTTTATTTTTTCACTCAGTTGTCACAGAATCAAACATCGGATTGTGTGATATCATAAGCAGCGAAGAACACATTGATGCTGCCTTTAAAATCAAGCTATGAAGATATCTCAGCTAACAGGATGTGACACGATCACTGGATTCACACATGCCTTGTTGCCTTATTCCTGCAGAGACATTTTTCAGCTTATGGATGCAGCCCTGAAAATGGGCATGAGAGACAACGGAGAACGTTGCCTCCTGGAGCAGGCCTGAAACCCCCACGTCTAGACAATAAATAAGACAAGAGTAGTTTCACTTTTTTCCCCACTTTATTGAAAATACAACAAGATAACCCGATTATTCGTTCTCCTCGCTGCGGAGTCTGGCATTGGGGTTTGTAACCTTAATGGCCAACTGAGCAGCCCTCTCTACAATGAGCTTCCTGTTCTTTGAAGACACATTGTGGGCGATCTCTGCACAATGGGACCTACAAAGAAAGAATAAGCTTAAGATTATCACACATTCTTCTCATTTTAAAAACAATTTAAAAATGAGCAAATGCAGCATTCATCATTGACACTCAAGTTTACACAAACTAGTTCCATTCAGAAGAGGAGACCCAAATACAAGCGCTAGTCACTTGTTGCAGATTATCTTCCACCTGCTGGCTATGGCAAGAGCTAGAGGTGGAATGGGTATTTCCTCCGCCATGCTATTTCTCTGAATTCAACACCTGAGATGAATACAGGCAATTCAGCAGGTATGATCAGAGAGATACAGACAGTCCAAACCGCTTTAAACAAATAAAATCTACTAGTTACATATTACTATAAGACCACACAGCACCACCACATTAAAACATCCAAAGAATAATATGCAATCTAACTTACATTAGACATAAAAGTGGCAATACATAAAAACTTACTTGTTGCTCATCATGAGGACTTCAAGTTCCTTGACATTGTGGACCAAGAACTTCCTGAATCCAGAGGGCAGCATGTGTTTGGTCTTCTTGTTACTCCCGTAACCGATGTTGGGCATCAGCATCTGACCCTTGAAGCGCCTGCGCACTCTGTTGTCAATACCTCTGGGCTTCCTCCAGTTTTTCTAGAGTGAGCGTTCATATTAGATCATGGATGTAATCACAGGCTAAATTAACATGGAGTTCTCCATTAGAAGCCGTTGAATAGTTAACTGCTTTGTTATCTCTTTAAATGAATAAATGTGGGCAGTGTTGTTGCATTTGAAAAACATACAAAATGTTACAGCTCCACGAAGATCGGAGAACTTGCTACAAGTGTGCTTTCTGATCTTCCGATCAATGACTTTCCATGATTTGTCCAGCAATTACGGAAAATAACTTGATAAATGCACTGCACTTCTAACGGAAAGATCTTTTCTTTCTAATTATTACACATCCGAGTAAAAATCATCAAAAATGAAAATGTTTAATAGGTAAATTATTCACAAGATCTACACCATGCACTTTAAATACATACCAGCTTCTGAGACTACTTTCATGGCAATAAAGATAAACTGCAAGATGCAGTTTAACTGCTAAAAAAAATTCTTTCAAATTATTAACTGAATTAAAAAAAAAAGGTTTATCACAGGGTTAAACCCAGCACAATTTAATAAAACACCTTTCAAGTAGGGATGGGCGGATTGATCCTTAAGTATCGATACTTTCGATACTGATGTTGTATCGAAAGGATTGATCCTCACATAAAAATATCGATTCTAAAGTGCATTTTTTAACCATTCATTTTATTTATCAAGAAATTCGGTTCATAAAAAAAGCTTCTAAGTATATTAGCGAATAATTGTGTTGGATAGAACCATTTCTCCTGCTCATCGGAACACACACAAATGCTGAAAGACAGAACCAACCAATCACAGACAGCGTTCGCTACTGACGCATGGCTCACAGTGTTTTGTTCAAATAGGGCTGCATTTACCAAAAGCATCAGAAGCATAATTAGATCTTCAGAAACCATTGCCACATTATTACATTGTTACTATATATCAAATTAATTCTGAAAAATGCATCACGGTTTCCACACAAATATGAAGCAGCAATAATAATAAATGTTTCTTGAGCAGCAAATATTAGAATGATTTCTGAAGGATCGTGTGACACTGAAGACTGGAGTAATGATGCTGAAAATTCAGCTTTGATTACAGATACATTTTAAATTACATTTTAAAATATATAAAAATAGAAAATAGTTATTTT